TGAGCAGCTTCTCCTCGGCATACTGCATGTTCGTGGCTTCGATCGCATCTTTTGTTGACCGCTAGCCACATCTCCCGGCTGCTTGTGAGGATGGTCCATGCCTTCCGAAGAGGTACACCTCGCCATTCAAGACCATATGCGCATCCATCCACTCGAATCCAGTACGCTGTTCGACCATAGCGCTTCATCAAGGCCAGAAGTCTCTTGATAGCCTTGGACTTCCAACAGGCCACGGCCGTTGTAGGCCATTCCCAGGCAAAATCGTTGCCAGCTGCCAGCACTGGCTCCAGAGATTCAGCAATCTCACCACAGCGCTTCAAGTCTCGGCCTCGACGTTTGAAGAACCTGTCCATTTGCTCCGGAGTCCTTGGTGTCAGGTTTTGAAGTGCCGAGAGACGGGCGCAGGCCATTGAGACCCATGCCAGTCTCGGGACCGTCTCCTTGATGTCCTCGGCCAGCTTGCTCGTGCCGATGCGGGTGTCAAGGTCGTAGCCAGAGAGGTAGTTGATCCTCTTGCCACTGAACCCTTGCTCCTCGAAGACCGTAGTCAAGGTCGATTCCTTGGCACAGGCAATCTCCATGATGTCCACCTGAGGTGATACAGCAGCCAACAGTTCTCCCATAGGTTGCAGCAGAGTTGTCGTCATCACTGCCGCAGCTGCGAGTCGACGGGCCAAGGAAGGTCGCACCGTCTTCTCGGTCACGTTGGTCACCTCATAGATCGCCTTCTCAAAAGGGCCGGAGAATTCAGCTTCGTGAGACATAGAGCTCCTCAATGGCGTAGGGCTCGGAAAACTTGCAGAGCTAGGCTCCATCGTAGTGCTCGTCGTGCGTGTAGGGTGATCCATAGGATCCATAGGTGAAGGTTGTCGTGTTGGGCTCAAAGATGTAGTGACGGCGTCACCAGGTCCAGCCTCCAGCCGGTCTAGGCATGACTCTTCCTCCTTCTTCCACATCCGACTCTGAAGTCCCTTCAGGGCATTCCACAAGGCCATCACTCGGCCTGGTCGGGACTGGTCACCTCGTTCTTGGTGTTCTTCTTCTTCTCGGGAGTGTCCTTGATCACCTCCACCGACTCCTCCGAGGCGATGCTCATGGCCCGGTTCATCTTGCCCGGATAGCCCTTCATGTCCGTCGATGCACGTGCTTCCGAGAGCAGGCGGATGTCCTCCTTCACGGGGTTGGTCTTCTCCTTGTTCTTGGCCTTTGGGGGCGATGGGCTCCTTGTCGTCTCCGTCTTCTTCACCGTTGAGCCCGAGCATGATGCTCCCGCCATCAAGGCCTCGCCTAGCTTCTCGTTGGCTCGCACCTGCACTGTCGAGCGGACCGTCCCGGACTTCATCATGGCGCGGCCACGTAGCTCCATCAGCTTGCCGTTGAAAATCTTCTCCGTGACCGTCATGGAGGTGAACTCCTCCTTCAATTCCTCCTGAGCCAGTTCGACATGCTCTGGAGGGGGACCAATGGCCCGGGTCTCGCCATGACCACTGCCCTTCGTGACATAGCGTAGGCGCAGACCGCACCGACTGCGCGCTTGCCACATGGCGGTCTTGTTGGACCGCTCCTTCCCCGGCAAATGTTCTCCGTGACATGGCCAGCCCACATGGCGTGGATCGAGGTCTGTCGCCGGGGGGCATGATTTCATCTCTGGTAGATGAAGGGGCTTCACGAAGTCGTTGGAGTCGTTGAGCCAAGATGCTGAGGCGGTCGGACAACAATGCATGACTTCCTGATCTCCGGATCACCAACCTCTGAGTACTACAAGAGTCGTGAAGAAGAACTGGCTAAGGCCTTCCGATGGGGCAAGTGGGAGGAGCATGAAATCACCTTCGCAGGAACCACCATCAAGCAGGCGGTGGACAAGTCCATCACCCTGGACCAGCACTCCTACACGCTCCAATGGATCGAGGAGGTGGAGTTTGACAAGAACAAGGCCCACAAGACACCCTTGAGTGCCACAGAGATCTCAGCAACGCGGGCTGCCTTGGGAACCATAAGCTGGCGAGCCACTCAGAGTGCTCCCCAGTTCTGTTGAGCGAGATCAATGGCGGCACGATCGAAAGCCTCCACAAGGTCAACAAGCTGGTGCGCGAGATGCGCAGGGAGTCTGGACAGGCTCTCCTCTTCCCATCTTGGGGGGTTCACTCCGTCCGGGACTTGGTGGCGGTGACGTGGGCAGACGCCTCACAGCACAACAGGCCTGACAGGTCAAGCACCCTCGGTGTCCTCACGGGCATCGGACCGGCGGCGGCCCTGGAGGGCGAAGAAGTCCAGTTCGCCCTGGTGCAATGGAAGTCCGGTCGGACCCCTCGACAAGTTCTCGGGTCCAATGGCGCTGAAGTCCAGGCCATCACGACGGGAGAGGACCAAAACCACATGGTCAGACTCATGATGGCTGAGCTGGATGGTGAGCCAATCGACAGGAGCAACCTGGCGGTGGCCGTGCGGAAGGTTGGAGGCGCTTTGGTGATGGATAGCCGCGGCATCTTTGATGCCATGACGCGGAACCTTTCCTCGCTGCATGGGCTTCGCGACTCCCGCAGTGGCTACGAGCTCACCATTGCGGTGAACTCGGCTCTGAAAGCCGGGACCCAGTTGAGATGGGTGAATGGGCTGGCGCAGCTGGCGGACAGCCTCACCAAGGCTGGCGCTCGCAAGACGATCCTCCACTTCTTCAGCCAGCAGCAGAAGTGGCGGCTGGTGCATGACCCGAAGTTTGAGTCCGGAAGAAGAGTCCACAAGAAGGCCATGGAGAAGAAGCTGAGAGAGCTCCAGGAGCAACACGTGGGATGACGCCGTGCATGACCGATTTTTGTGACCGGCCAAAAAGGCCAGGAAGTGTGGGGAATGCAAGCATGGCGGTTGTGCACATAGCTGTGTACTCTCCGCAAGGGCGGGGCTCGAGCCAGCTGGTGAGAAAGGCATAGTGCCCTTTTTGTCCGTAGGTGGACGCTTTGTTGCGCTGCGGTGAGCGCATTGCAATATTCATTTCCTGGACACGCCATATCGTTAAGAGATGCACAGAAGGATGGGGAAAAGGCACTCACATTGGAGGTTCGTTCTACATGAAGCACAATAGTATATAATCAATAGTAGTAGCTACACGAGTAAGTGAGCCGGCCCATGCAAGCTTGCGCGTGAGTTCTGCCTTGAGGTGGACATGGATCCGCCTCAGCCTCTTCCTATGAAACGCGAATCTGCAGATTTGGCGCGAGCCTTGGTCACGAGACTGTTTGAATTTCACAACCAGGCAAGTCGTGGCCAAATCCCAAGTTTGTCATCCTGCGACAAAGCCCAGGTGCTGTTCTACAAAGAAAATGCAGAGCTAATCTCTAAAATGAGAAAGGTGAAGCGAGGAGTTTTTGAGCATTTTGCAGCCTGGACGGTACTGATACTGACTCTCGATGCGTTATGTATGCCACGCAATTACTGTTGTGGGAGATTGCGTGTGGACCGCATGTGCATCCTGTTCTTGTCCATGTTCAGCTCCAAAGTTTGAAGGACACAAATTCGACTTCACTGCCACCATGCTGGAGGCCAGTATGGCAATATGGTATGGGTATGGTATGCTATGGTATCGTCATAAAGAGCACACTTCATCCGTTATGTGGTGTGCCATTTTTGATTGTTTGCTTGCTGTCTACCAAGTGAAGGTAACGACTTTTTTAGTCCGCGATTGCAAGAAGCAGGTTCCCACACAGTCGATCTGAAGCCAGGTGGGCAGACGTGGTCAACCTCATGCCTGAACTCCCAGGAGCTTTTGCTAGGAGTTGGTGTGGTTTTGGAAAAACCACGACCTTTTGGGCAGTGAAAAGGGTAAATAAGGCGTCCCGACTGCAAGGTGTCATAACCACTCCATGTACACTTGAGGTCATGGCGCTGTGGGATGCTGTGCCCAGGCACAGCTCGGCAAGGATCAATGGCAGAGCTGTGCTCTCCAACAATGTGATGCTTGTGTGCTCAGATGCTTGTTTGTTTCTTGAGGGCTTGCAGTCGCACTTTCATGAATATCAGTTTGAGCATGTGCTGGAATAGTTGCATGTATGGACTGGGAATGACATAGAGACAGAAATCATCCTTGAACAGTAATCGCAATGTTCTTGCACAGAAACAGGGTGCTACACACTTCCATTAAGTTTGAGTTTTGCAGTGGGTCGAGGGGCTGCCAGACTCTCCCTCATATGTTTTTCAGTGGCACGGCCGGCTGAAATGCCTTTGGGTGTTATTCCATCCAGGCTATCTGAGAGCTCGGATGGAAATGCCTCGCAACCTGCGACTGGGCAGCAGCTTTTCGTGCAGCTTTTCGCCTCGAACCCAACAACCGTGAAGCGGACTCTGGAATTGTGGAACCCAGCCCTGCGGTCTTTGCAAGTTTCAATCCTGGCCCTGTGACTTTGGAGCATGCCCTGATGGCCTTTATTGCATTCTGCCGTCCCGGTGGTTATTTAGAGAGCACGCAGCAAATCGTGGTGAGTTTTCCCGGATAAGGGGCTATTTGCTGCTTATGCCAGTGTACATAATTGCCTGACCAGACTTTGCCTCCCTGATTGCATTTTTTTGGCCTGGAATCCATATCTGAATCTAGCCCTACTTGTTTTGCATTGAGGATCCGGTGGGCAGCTTTAAGAGACAAGTCAACCACGAAAGTATGCCTTGTAATTTCTTTGATCCACAATACCATCCGGGGTCTATGCCGGTGTACATAACTATTGTGAGACAAGTGTGCGTTTTTTGAGTCTATTGTAGCTTTCGGCAGCAATTGATCCAAGTTGCTCAGGCCATTCGGTAACGCCCAAGACCACTGACCAGCCAAAACACAGTGCGGTGTGGTGCCGGAAGCTGTAGATCTTGGCCAAAGATTCGTTGTGTCAGCAGTCACAGTTGTCACATTTCAGTCGGGGTCCGGACCAGAATTTAGTTTGTAACACGTTTGCTGGCTGAACCTGGGATCAAGCAGGTGGCTTGAACCGTACACGGTCCAATGTTTGGAGCCTCCAGAAAGAGACTGTATCCTCACAGTGTTGGTGACAGTCAATGGAAGAGCCAATTTAGCCCTTGGACTTCTTTTGCATGGCAAGGTGCAAATGACAGACCAAATCGGAGAGTGATCGGGACCGGACACTGTACCTAGTACCTACTAGCCAATAAGCTGCAGAAAGTAGGGTTTAATTTGTCAGAGCATTTTGCCATGTCTCCTACAATCTTCGGGGCATCAGCGCGCTTCAACGCACCGTGGAAGGTGGTCAGCATAACCACTTTAGACAGCTGTAGATACTATCACAGTCAAATCAAGGACATCTCTTCTTTTTTCCGATCGAAACGGACAGGTGACGAATGGATCCTGGGCTAGGCTCCTAGACTCTCAGATGATTCTGTGTGCTGAAAAACTTGGACTCTGATTTCTGACTAAGCTTCGCTGGCTTGGACTCCATGACGAAATACGGAGGCTTTGTCATTGCGCGCAGAGCGGGAGAAGGAGCCTAACTTGGATCCGGCAGCTTCTCGAGAGGCTTGGCAGAAGGTAGAACGAAAAGGATCCATCAACATGCTGAGCCCTGTGGGACTTTCCTCAGGAACAGCCTGTTGTAAACGCAGGATGCTGCATGCCTGACCTGTTGCACCTGCAAGCTGGAGAACTTGAAGCTCAGTCGGCGAGGTTGAGTGACGTCACACAACAATAAAGCAGGAACACAAGAAGCGACAGTGACAGAACAAAACAAGTTACAGGTATATACAGGTACAGAGACAAGCACGACAACAGCAGCAGCAAAAAGAAAGAGCAGAAACACAAACAGTATCTCATTCGCTCCAGACCGCCAGACCGCTTTTGTTCCTCTCACATGCACGACAATGATGGATACTTGCAGGGGATTCGATTCCCACATGACATATGTAGCATCAAATCTGCTCCATCCACATGCCGTGGATCTGGACAACAACTTCTCCATTCCATTCTATTCATCGCCCGAGGGTCATCCTCGTCCTCATCCCATCCTCTTTCTCCTGTTCCTCATCCCAAGCATCAAGGTAATTGTTGCTGTCATCATCATTGTTGATCGGAAGTGAAGCGGTGGATAGGCGCTGGGGTGTGGGGTGTGTGAAGGAATCGATGCGCAAGGCAAAGCTGCCAAGCCCCAACACGTCACCGCGCATCATTTTTGTGAAGGCCGATGATTTTGTGGCTCGAAACACTAGATTTATGTAGTTTGTCTTCGTTACATGTTGTTCATTTCTGCAGGCTAAGCCTTCTCGAAGGCGTTGCCGAGCTCATCACTTTGCAAAGGCAAGCTTTGCTTGCATTTTGAATGGGTTTGTGGCATTTGCCTCAATTGTTCTAGGCAAAGGAGCTTTTTAAGGGCACCCCTGAGCAGCCGCCGAAGGCGCACCCTGGATATTGTTTCTCTGAAGACAAGCTAAAAGCGGTCCAATAGATCTTTTGACCAGCCCTTGATTGAAAGGCGGAGGAGCCAAATGGTGACAGTCCAGCGCCAGATAATGAGCAGCTTGGTCCAACATTAGCAGCTAAAGTAGGAGAAGGTGATTGAAGTGTAGAGTGTGCAACAGTCAATCACACGCTTCCTGCCAAGCCGTGGATTAGGCTTCCATGGCCTATGCTCATTCTAACTTCGACTGCTAGGCCAGAAGACTTGAAGCATACACTCCTTTTCTGGAAGGAGTACAACTCCATGGCAAAACGAGAGAAAGGGCAACCGGCCTGGCACGAGGAGCACAACTCTTCCCATCATTGTTGGCTACTAGTAGCATCTTTGTGACGATGACGATGACGATGACGGTGATAACGGTGATGATGATGACGACGATGATGATGATGATGAGGATGATGAGTTCAGTCAGAACAAGATGTGACATGTATCCAAGGTCCTGCTTGTTTGAGAAAATGACAGATGCCTGTGAACGCAAGCATGTCAGGAGCCCACTTCCTTTGTTCTGCCGCACTTTCCAGTCTCCAATGTAACCTGGGACACAGAGGCTGCGCGGCGGAGGCCTCTTGGTGATTTGAAACTGCGGAAGTGACAGGTGCAAGAAGCCCAGACGTGCCAAAGCACTGTTTGGAAGCAACAAGACACATGAGTGGTGATGGGGAAGCCAAGCTCCAAGCGACTGCAGGAAAGCTTTGCAGCAACGTGCAAACGCCAGCGAGGCGGCTGCAGCATTGCATTTGGAGGTGCAGTTGCAGTGCAAGGCAGGGAGAAAATAGACTCTGTAGCTTTCGCTTTTGCCTCAACATCGATAGGAACGGCTACGGCTCATGATTCGAACTGGGCAAGTGGAGAAGGTCAAGAAGGCTAAGTTCTGAAACCCTGACTGAGATTCAAATCTATCACTTGTTGTCAACATATTTTCACTCCTGCAGTTTCTTTGAAGCAGGCTTTTGCTCATTTTGCTCAAATGCGTGAGTCCGTAACTATTTGTGAGTCAGGAGATGAAAGCCTCGCTGCGTCTTACCGCTGAGAGCAGGTCTCAGCAGCACACTGCTAGTTTTCATTTTTTGATACTGAGATTGCTAGGCAACTGTCTGAAGATTCTTTGGACACAAGCTGTTGCGGAGGTTATTACTTTCATAGGTGGTGAAAGTGAGAGCTCGTTTGAAAGCTCCCCCGAATGAGAGTCAACCTCCGCGTGATTGGGTGTGCGAGGCAGTCAGGTGAGGCTGAGGCTGGACCCGAAGTGCCTTCTTAGGCCTTGCTCGTTTTCTTTGACTGTTCTTGTTTGATACCCACTAAGATTGGCGTTCATACTCACCGACATGTTGAATCGCGCATACAGCTGACCTTGTTCCCGAAAGCAAGAGGTGTTTTGGTTCATGCACAGGCAATGTAACTTGCTTTAATATAGTCTTTGTTTTGTATTGCCAAGCCCTGCTGGATATACTATATACATTAATGTGAATGCTAGCTGCTAGCTCTTTGGACCTCAGCTGGTGTATTTTGTTTTGAGAAATGAACAGAAGCTCACGTTAATTTGGACAACATGTTGGATCCACGGGGGGGTTAACCCCGCAGCAGAATGATCCAGGTGTCAAATCTATTGTATTTTGCAGTAAAATCTCACTGTTCGACCCCTTGCTCGATCGTTTTGGATTTCCCCAAAACCAAGACGATGAAACAACTCTTCTGCAGAATCCTTTTTCAAGCCTCCTCCGGTCTCATCAACAATTCATCACCATCGTGTTCTACTACCCAAACGAACGAATTCCTCTCACTTCCCACCGAACCCCCCCACCCATGGCCTTAGCTTGCAAGTGTTGAAAGTGGGGCTAACCCCCCCCGCTCTGTTGACCCAACATGTTGTAATTTACACAATACAACGCAGGAAGTGGCAAAATTCGGGCCCACCAAAGAGGAGGTCATGAGTGGGAGGAAACAAAGCACACATGACATTTGCATTTCTTAACATTGAGTGTTTTCGTGCCATTTGGCATTTCAGGCCTTGAGCTTGAAGCAGCAAGGCAGCGAGGGGATTCTGAGACCGGGGGGGTAGGGACTGGTGAAGAAGACAAGTTTTAAGACATTCATGTTAAGACACTTTAAGGCATGTCGAGACTCTGAAGTGCAACTTGCAGCAAGTACAGCATGCGAAGCTCTTGTAAAGCTCTGCCTTTTAGGTGACACTCAAGATGCCCTGAAGATGATGAGCCGCCATCGTAATGAGCTTCTGAAGGCTGGCCATTGGCTTCGTGGATGGACGGATAGACTTGAGTCAAGTTTCCCTAAAATCGAGGAACCAAATCATTAGTGCAAGCACTTCTTCAAGGAAGCTTTCCCCCGCCCTCAGGCGCGGTGAGCTTCCTTGAAGAAGCGTGAGCTATCCTGTAGCTTAAGTAGCTAGTAGCGAACTACTCCCTTACTTATATAAGTAAGTAGGCGCCTACTTAATTAAGTAGGAGCACGCTAAAAAGAAAGGAGAGCGTGAATGGGAGGAAAGCTAAAGAGTTCGTCTCCGGTCGCCGGACTTCGAACACTTTGCAGCATACTTTGCAGCTTGTTTGATCACACATTGGGCTGTCAGGCTAGGCGAACTTTGGAGCAAGCCCTCGACAGGCTGAAGCTTTTCATTGTTTTGCATATTTTACATGGGCCACGACAATACAATGCTGGAAGTTTTTGTCATTCGTGGACTTGGAGCTCTGAGGATGTTTGCATGATACTGTAATTGCTTTGAATATATAAACCTTCGTTTTAAGGAGCTTTTCGGCCCGAGTTTAAGGCGCCGGGATTCCCAAACGCGCTTAGAGCGACTTCAACAAGCGGAACTCTCAGAGCATATGTTCTCAGAAGGGATCTGCAACAAGCTTCTGCAGTTGGTTGTGTTTTCTGGACACTAGGCATATTTTTTCTTGTTTCGTGCTTTTGGTTCTCGCAGGTCAAGGAATTGCTGGGAACAGATGGAGGCTTGCTCAAGTCCAGTTCTGGTGAGATCCCTGCGATTAGTTGAAAAGTGCCACGTTGCTCGACTGGACAAATAGAGTGAGTCTTGTTGACTCGTTTGCTGTAAGAGGAATATACAGCTTTCCAAGAGTTGAATAGATGTGATGCTTTATGGTCTGCTTAGCTGGCTCAATCATTGCATCCATGTCGGATAGGTGTACCAATATCCAGCATGATTCCCTAAAGCTGCAGCTTCCTGCAACAGACACAGATTCTCCAAGAAACAGGCCTACATGATACAAAAAAGTACTGACTGCACACGCTTGTTGAGCTTTACCGCTATGGATGGTGTCCTCTGGCGCTTCACGCCAGGCAAAGAATGACCTGACCTGTTGATGTGGTAACACAGACTTGGCCTTGATCAGGCAGATGAGTCGTGGGTGCCTTGCCAGCATGGTCTTGGGCACTGCGGCAATGCCATGCTGCACACCTTGCATGGAGACCTGGTGATGTCAACTTCTTATTCCCAGGTTTGGCCATTGCGTGCGGAGCGTCAAAAAGAGCCACGGCTAAACCCTGTTGTGCCAAAAAGAAGGAAGGCCGGGCAACCCAGGAGGCATGACAATGCATATATATAATATATGAATAGTTGTCTGTAAGACACGGTTTGTCACGAAACGACCGTCGAGATGCGGCTCGAGCGTCCTTGTCTTTTCAGGGAGGTGGGGACCAGCTCGCGCCGCCATGAACGAGAAAGATGAGGTGGCGCTGATTGGCAGTCTTGCAGGGATGACTGCCAGTCAGATCAGCGCCTTGGAGGAAGGAGGCTGGAATGTGACCCGCCTCGCAACACTAGATGGAGCAGGCGGTGATCTTCGGGAAGCGCTGGTGTGGCGCTTGCAGCAGAAGGATGCCTCCTTCGAAGTGGACAAGGATGTCCTGAGGGATATGGTGAGACGTGCGGCAATGAGGGCGCGCACCCGGCATATGATAGATGCCAAGCGAGGAGGACAAGATCTACTTGAAGCGCATGTGGCTCACCAACGGTCGGTGCGACAGAAGATCTTCGGAGACCACGTGGCTGAGGATGTCAGATCCAAGGTACAGCTGGTGGGAAACGGCAAGAGGAGCAGATGGCCAACACGGCTTGGGCTGAAACTGCATATAGCTTCATCGGACGTGGCGATGAGGGAGCTGGCAGCGAGGCAGGAGCGTGACAGATGGTTGAAGGAGGTCAGAACCATCGTGAAGGACGCCAAACTTCCGGTGGCATTACGCTCAAGCGAAGACTCCCTGATGATCAGGGTGGCGAAAGGCAGGAGGCCGAACACGCTGCGCAAGCATGTCAAGACATGGGCGAGAGCCTCCCGCTGGTTGAACGTAGTGTATGGTTACAGCTGGCCACAGACCTCGGAGCAGTTCGCGGAGTTCTTGGAGGCGATGGTTGAAGAGCCATGTGCAAGGAGTTACCCGGAGTCCGTCTTCAAGACGTTGATGTTCGAACACGCCGGCGAAGTTCCGGAGCACGATCAGATATGCAGGTCCGCGGCAGTGAAGAATGCTTTAGAGGAGGCAGCGCACACGCTGCAGTCAGTAGAGTCGAAAAGGGCTCGCAAGGCATTGCTGCTACCGGTCGCGTTGATTGTGGCTTGGGAATCCTACATCCTGGACGAGGACAACCCGCGTTACCCACGCATCTACGCGTGGTTCAGGCTCATCAAGCTTTGGTCAGGAATGAGGTTTGATGACGCGAAGGGGACTCCGAATAGAACTATGGAGATGTTCGACTGGGGATTGAAAGGAGTCATCAATCGGTCGAAGACGTCCGGGCCAGGGAAGAGAGTGGTGCTTCTTCCATTCTACATCAACAAGGTCGGCTGGAAGCTATGGACAGCAATGGGAGCAGAAGCAGGGATGCTGGGCAGAGATTTCATGCTGCCCTGGCCCAACGCCAACAAGAATGGCTTCATCCGGAAGATGGTGGACTCGATCGCATCCACGATGTCTCAGGCGCTCTTCAACGAGATCAAGATCCGAAGGGCAGATCAGAAGAAGCACGTCCTGAAGCCAGGAGTGGGTGTGCTATGGACGGAGCACAGTGAGCGCGCGACTATACGCACTTGGGCGCAAGCGGCCCGAATCGCGGAGGGCGTCAGGAAGATGATCGGCAGATGGAAGCCCTCGGCTGATGAAGGGTATGAGCGAAACGTCAGGACGAATGTCTTGAGGTGCCAGAAAGTCCTGGCGCTCTACGTCCGTGAGAACATGGCCAACTCGGATCCCTTCGATGAGACGAGGGTCGTGCAACTGGTCGAGCAGAGGATGAGGGATCTTGGCTATGAGCAGGAGGAATGCGACGAGCAATCCATGAGGCTCATCACCTTCATGCCTGGAGAGGACGCGGCAAAGCTCTGCAGGAGACCAAATTGGACCACCACAGGGCCCGTGGTGCTAGTGGAGGAGCCGCAAGACGTTGTGGAGGTCAAGGTGGAGCCGACAGCGAGCGGATGTCGAGGACGACCCGGAGACTGTGGAGACAGAGCCGCGATCCAGGTGCTGGGAGAAGAAGCTCCCAGCACAGCGGAGTACCATAGGGCTTGCAAACAGTGCTTCGGCCGACAAGAGGCCGCGGCAGCAGATGCACTCGAAGAGGAGACCTCCGGGGATGTATCGTCCTCCGAGCTGTCGGGGTCAGAAGAGGAAGAGGACAGCGCGGGATGAGAGACTTTGTACAGGTTGCGTCCCGTGATGACAAGTCCGCATCGAGCAGAGTGCGACATGAAACGGTGCCTCAGGGGCAGAAGGGGGGGAACAAGAGATGTCGCATTGTTTGGGTTCTCTAACGTGTGTGTAGAAGAGGGAACGGGCCCCCCCCATGATCGATCACGGCTGGGAGTCGGTCGAGTCTCGTGTTGTAAGGCGTTAGGAAGGTAGATAGGTTCAGCTGTTTGAGATTGCGCTTGCGGTCGGTCGTGGTTGTAAAGGCGTAAAGGTTCGAAGGTCAGGTCTTGTGAGCTTGTTGCGCATTAGTTCAGCTGCATGAGAATGAGCATGGATGGACGTGACCTTCGTCGAAGACCGATGAGCACCTTTCGGCTTGAGGTCAAGGAAGGAGGGCACGCGGAACACACTGGCGGAGTGATGGCTAGTGTGGAGTGAGAATGGCCGGCGTTGGCCATGACGCCGATGAGAGCCGCAATGCGATAGCGTTGTTGGACGCGGACTTGCATGGCTTGCTCCAGGTGAAGGAGGTGGAGGAAGTGTTGCAAGCAAAGCTCTCGGTGGCAAGAGTCCGCAGCGTCAGCCGCATGAGCACGGCGGCGGACGACTGGGCCGCGACGAGGAAGTTTTGTGTGGACGCCCTTGCGCTTGATGAGACTCGGGACGTTGTGGAGATAGCTTCGTTGGTCGATGCTTGGGAGTCGGCGACAACAAGAGTAGCAGCGCGAAACAAAGCTGAGGCAGAGGCCGGCGTGGCAAGCATCACTTAGCAAGGTGGAAGTGCAGGAGCGCATGGTGAGGTTTCAGCAGGTCTTCAACATCAAGTTGGAGGATCGGAACACACCGGCGGCCTCCACCCTTGAACAAATCTTCGACCAAGTCGAAAAGGGTGAGCTAAAGAATATGAGCCTTGTGCAATTCTTGGGCAGAGAGGATGCCGAGGCGGATGTCTTGGGGGCCACAGTTGAGAAGAGCACAGGCGCCTTGAAGATCAAGAAGGGGTGCTCCAAGCCCAGAAATCCGGAAGAATTCCGGAAGCGAATGGCAGTGCTCGCAGGCTCAGTTGAAGTACCCCCACAAGGCCGAACACATCATCATCGAGGGGAGCAGAGTCCAGGCGATCCCACAGCCCTGGCAGAAACTGGCGCCCGTGGGCAGATGATCCATGGGAGCAGCCACGGGGAAAGGGGAAAGGAAAGAAAGGAGGCGGCAAGGGCAAGAACAAGAAGGGCCGCCAAGTGCATGACAAGACGCCAGATGGCCGTCAGATTTGCTGGAAGTGGAACAATCCAAGAGATCGATGTCGCTACAACTGTGGTCGGTTGCGTGTCTGCCAGGTTTGCTTCGGGAACCACCCGATGCACGCTTGCGATGGCTCTGGCAAGAAGGACACGGCTGGTGGCGGGGCCGAAGGCGGCAAGTCCGCCTGAAAGGAAGCCACAAGGAGAAGGCTGCCCCACCTTCTCCATTGCAGCAGGGCACGACGAGGGGCACGCGACTATGCCATGTGCTGTACCTCTTCAGCGGGGCCACCCGCAAAGCATCCATTGCAGCGTTTCTCCAGAAGTTGAGCAGTGGCACAGGCATTCAATTTCAAGTGCATGAGATAGACATCCAGAACTCACCAGAGTGGGACTTAAACTTAATAGCAGACCATGGATTGCAGCAGAAGTTGCTGCAAGAGCTTGCTCAGGGAGAGTACCACGTGGTGCTCGCCACTAGTTCGAGGAGCAAACTGCAGGGGGCCACCTATGATTTGTTCCAAGCAGCACCCGTGGGGCTTTCCATGGCTCTCCAATAGGCGTACGAAAGATGCCAACCTGGGCAACGTTTTGATTCGCTTCACGATCAAGGTCCTCCATGTGCTAGAGCAGCGCCCCTTTGCACCAGATGGCTCTTTGGAGCTGGTGTTCGGCGAACACCGCGAGGATCTCGGGATCATTTACCGGGAGGAGGATGGCGTGAAAATGCAGCCAGCATCTATATGGCAGTTGCCGGAGCTTGACGGCAATCGTCGTATCCGGGTTCGTGATCGGATGAGGTTCCCTCTGATAGATGACGCTGCAGCTGTGCTTCGCCAGGTAGAAGAAGAGAGAAGGGAGAAGCGCAAGGTGGTGAGATTCTCTGTCCTCTAAGACACCGCGAGAGCTCACAAACTGATCCCGGCGTGAGAGGAGGACTGGGGCATGCAGGCCTTCAGACTGCCAGGAGAAGACACCGGGGATGTCTATGCGCACACCAGAGGCATCTTTGGCATCGCCAGTGCGGCCTACTGGTTCGGTCGCGTCATTGGCGTGGCAGTGAGGTCATGCCATAGGGTCATGGGCAGGCGTATGGGGCTGCTATACCTCATTTACGCAGATGACGGCTGGCTCGCAGCCACGGGCGCTCGCTTCTGGAAGAAGATCCTGATGTGGCTCTTCTTGTATGAGCTGCTGGAAATTCCCATCACGTGGAAGAAGGTCAGAGGCGGTACCGAGGTCGACTGG